TCCTGCGAACCAATTGCTATATCCTTGTGCTCAGCCTGTGAGAATACCGTTTGTACATCGAATAGTGAGCCTACTATCGCAACCGCCTATCCTTCGTTGTTCGTACTGAGCATGTAATTCAGTGGTTTTGATTCTATTCTAAGTGTTTCCAGCAGGTGGTGTCACCAGTGATATGCATCGAGAGATCTCATTATGTAGCATTTGCACGTTCACTATCACGCTTCTAAGAGGTGCCGTTATGTGTGAGTTCCAGATTGCTGTTCGCTTTCCGTCAGTTATAAAGAGCGTGCTGACTTTTGGAATAGGTGGCACTGTTATGGAGCTAAGTGTGAGCGTGAAGAACTGGTGTCTGAATGGAATGTTCGGTTGTAGCTGCGTGACGTAGGACTGCATTGTTCTCTGAATAGAGTTGAAGTATGTGATTTCCACTTTGGCAGATTCTTTCCAGCGATTGCAGTGGAAGATTTCGTAGATTGTTGAAGACGTTGGGGGTAAGTAAATGCGGTATAATAGGCATCCAGAGCTCCAATAAAAACAGTCGCAACTTGGACCTCTACAAGATTCAACGCAGGCTGTTATTTCTGGGTATTTATTTTCTATTGCAAGTTTTGGTATGAGACTTGTGGCATTTATCCCTGCGCACTTCTCCCCTTTACATGACCCTGTGTCCCTGACCCTACATGTCCACACCATCGCTTGCTGTCGATGACGTGGTGCGCGGTAGCTCGAGTAAATAAGTCCGTTTCGGGTTCGCAAATAAGCGTTAATGATATATTTATTTATGTGATCTTATCAACTGGTCTTCTTAAGCTGACGCGAAGTTGGACTCACGCACGTAACATCACGGCTCTGAGGAAGGCGAAGTCGCCGAAACGTCAGCCATCGATCAATAACATCAAAAACAACGACAACGACAACGAAGATCTGTACCACAGGTGTATGCAGTGGAAAAGGAACACGCGCTGTTGTCCTTACCGGGGACCAGCGCACTTCACCACTACACCATCCGGGTCCTTCGTTTCGCCTGTCTCTCAGCTATTTCTATCGATCTTTGCCACAGCAATCACCAGTCAGCGTATGAGATGCTGAGATATTCGGAGTTTTGCAAATATCTCAGCATTTCATACGAGTTGTATATCAACTATCTATGCCGAGGTTTATAGAAAGTCGGTCTTTCTAGTTATTAAGCGTTAATGACTTTCATTCGATTCTTATTTCATGTAGTGATGTTTCGTTGTGAAGTAGTTTAAAGCAGGCCTCTCTTGTGAAAGGGTTGATTTTTAAGACTTCGGAGAGTTGGACTTCGCAAAATTGGCCTCTCTTTTCTTGCTTGTAGAGTCTTGTTATGTGGGAAAACAGATTTAACTGTTAGCAACCATTACATGTGAGCGTAAGTGACATTGCGATCATCATTAGTTTGTTAAATTTGATGTTGTGATGCGTGGAGCGAGGTCTTCTGATTTTCCGATTCAAACTGGTGATTGCCGATCGTATTGCATACCAAATAAAATGAAATGTTACTCGAATTGGTTTTCCGAGAGTGAGTGGTACGTATAGTAGTACGTAGCAGCCGGTAACAATGCAATAAATGGCAATTGCTGATGCCAGTATTGTACTTGTTGGCCATCATTCGGGATTGAAAATTAGCTCCGCACATAGTACACAGTTGAGGTGCTCGCAGAATGGTGACGGTGGACATGTTGTTTCAATAATATCGATTGATTGATTATCAGCCAGTTCCCATTGAATTTTGTGTTCGTGAGGAATTATGTGCGGTGGAAGACTGATTATCTCGTAGGATTTTGGTTTTTCTAACGTTTTACAGTAACCGTCTGCACCTACCTGGTACGGGGTGTTGCCAGGTGAAATGAGTTTTATTCCTCCTTTGATGCACTTTATATGGCGAAGGTTGGTATGCCGATTCGAATTTGCAGCTGAGCATTGTCCCAGAAGAGTTAATAGGGATAGAATGTTAAAAATCAGTGAAACACTTGGAGTTTCTGCTAATGAGGGATTGAGAAGTTTGTTATAAACGATTCGTTGCTGGCGTCGTAAGTTATATGTACCTGTCCGCTTTCTGGGAGTTGCTCCTGTGGCTGCTTTTGTGTTGTTTTCTTCCATTGGTAATTCGTGTTGTCTAGTTGGTTGTGGAGTAGTTGTCTCCAGTTGCTGGTTGCTTTGTGTTTGCTGTAATGAAGGTTCATCTAATTCCAGTGGAGTTGAGAGATTGAGTGGTCGGCGAATTGGACGGTGTAATGGTAGTAGAATAACGGCTTCCCGTGCGATACCTTGTGAATTGTTGACGAGCTCCTTAATTTTGCCCATCTTCCACGAATATCGAGGTTGTGCCGGGTCGTTGATTAATACTAGATTGTCTTCTTTAGGCGTATATTTCGAGCTTCTTTGTGTGGAAGTACTCTGATGCTTTTCCCGCAGTGATGTTAGGTAGTGAGATTTCCAAATTGTCCAAAATTTTTTCGTTAATCTGCAGGATGAATTTAAAGCCTTGATGACTTCTTCTTTTGTTCGTAGTACGACTTTTTCTTCTGATGGTACATAGGAGGGGTCGCAAGTTTCGTTGGCAATGTCATCTAGTGCCGCAAAAATTTCGAAGTCTTTTTGAAGGAAGTCGATAGGTCGAAGCGTTTCTTCTCGTGCGGATTGCGATTCTACGTATAACAATGGCCTCGTATTGAGGAGTGATTCAATTTCTATTATTATTGTTGTTAACTGCTCTGTTGAGAGTTTTGCGGTTCCAAGAGTTTTGTAGAAGGAGTGTTTTACTGATTTGATAAGTCTTTCGTAAAAGCCCCCTTGCCATGGGGCGAATGGAGTAATATATTTCCATTGTATTTCATGGTTCGCAATTGTACGTTTTACTTCTGGATCGTTTTGTATGGGTTTAAGACTTTCATTGAGAATGGTTTCCGCTAGTACAAGTGTTGGAGCGTTGTCACTTGTAATTGATGCGGGCGTTCTTCGTCTGGCGAAGAATAGGCGTAGGAACATGAGGAATGAGGTAGTTGTGAGGTCGGAGACAATGCCAAGATGTATTAGTCTCGTCGCTACACACATTATTGCTCCATAACATTTAGCTTCGGCAGAATCCGATTGAATAATTGTTATTGGACCAAAATAGTGGAGACCAATGTGCTTGAAAGGTCGTGATTTGCGAACTCTATGCTTAGATAAGTCGCTTTTTTCTGGATATTTGTATAGTAGGTTGTTGAAGCGTTGGCATGGTACGCACCTTCTGAGGATTCGTGTTACTTGTGCACGTAGTTTGGGGATCCAGAATTGTTCTCGTACGATTGATATTGCGTGGCTAACGCCTGGGTGCCCTTTTTTGTGACAACCCTCTATGATTGCTTGTGCAAGCCAAGTATTGTGAAATACAAGCAAAGGGTTTTTGGATTCTTTGCTTAAATCGCTGTTTCGTAGTCGTCCGAAACATTGGAGCAAAGCTTCCTTGTCTGGTTTGACGTTGAGATGCTTCATAGACTGGAGCATAGACGTGGTTACAGTCGAAGACTGATCCTGTCTGACCAGTACTTTTCCAGCTATAGTAATCTCTTCACCAGAGATGTTGGGATCCAGGTTAACGTCCATGGTACTTAGAAGTGTGGAAAGTTTGATACGGTGTTGTCTACGAATGTTCATCTTGGTGACTGAGATTTGAATGAAGCGTATAATTTTTTATGCTCTTTATGCTAATTCTTTATGCTAAACAATATGCTGCTCTTTATGCTACTGCTGCGATTCTTTTAACATTTGTCAGAGAGTATTTTCCCAATGGCGTGAAGATATTGTTTCTGTTGTCTTTGTCTGAGTTGTTGTGTTCTACGAGAAACAGTTGCTGTTCTTCGTGAGGAAATTCTTGGAATATCGTGCCCATTGGATTATTGTGAAGTTTTGGGCTGTTCTCCAAAGAGCCTTCGTTGTGTTCGAAAGTGTTGCAAAAGATTTCCCAAATATCTGGAGATTCTTGGAGAAAAGGTGGTCCGACCCACTAGAAAGGGTCGAGTAATTCCTTCTGGCTAAGAACATTTCCAGTAGTCTGTTGAATATTCTGATTCCAACGTTCTTTAGTTGTTTGTGCTTTATCCAGCTAAGTACGATCTCTAAGTCCGAAAGGATGAGAAATTCTTGAATTTCTTAGGTCCTTTGAAGTTGAGTCAGCACGGCGTTGGTTAATCGCACAGCTATGGTTACCGCATCCAGCTCCATTTTTGGTACGGTTGATGTAGATTTTAGCGAAGGCAGTTGTTCTTCGAACTTGCCATTGTACCTATCGAGCAGATCTTTGATGTTTTGTAGGGTTTTCCAAACAACATGAGTCTATTGAGTGCAACTACTCTGCTATTAGGTAGTGATAGCTGTACGTCTTTCCAAGGTAGACGAACGTAATATCCGTTTAACCTTTTTTCAATGGTTTTGTTGAAGGTTTGCTATACTTGCTGATCCGTCAGTGCTTTTTTCATTTTTGCGGAGTTCGTGAATTCTTCTGTTCCGGCGGATTCGAGGGTCCAAAATTGTTCCTATTTGATTGCTTCATCTTCGTCCGTTTCTGAATCTTCAATAAGGCAAGCATCAAGTCGATAAGGATGGAATGTATAAGCATCAGACTTGACATTCCAATGTCCGATGCTTATACATTCCATCCTTATCGACTTGCACGTGTAGTGCCCAGTATTGATCCCATCTGTCTAGTTCATCCTTGAAATCCTGTATGAGCAATGTGTTTCCTTCTTCGCTGTGTTGTACTTGTAACAACACGTTATCATTTTTTTGTAGCGCAGGAGGACTTTTTAGTTGTCCTGTACATAAATGACCCATAAATGACCGCGTTGGGATAAGATGTAAGTCGGATGATAGTTCAATGTGTGGTTTATCGTTTTTCATCAGGGCCCACAGTTGGTCGCATCCTAGTAGAATGAAAGGTTGGACCACGGGCCTGGTATTACTTGCCTCAAATTGGAGGTTGTTTTTTACTACGAAGACTATGTCTTCTGAACAAATTGACGGGGTTTAAAAGGTTTCGTTATCGCGTTATGTGTGAACAAGAATAACGATATTTGATGGCCGTCCGCGTCCCATACCTGTAATGGAACCTTTCGTGAAACGCATTCTTGCACATTGTTTGAGCCAAATGTGTTTAGCCGTAGTTTAATTTCTTCTATCGTCGGTAGATAGAGCTTTTGTGCAAGATTCTCGTCGATAAAGGCGGCTCCCGTGTCCAGTAAGACGGAAACCTTCTCTAACTGCTTTGTGGTTGGGTTCATTATAGCCAGCTCCTTGTAGGTAGGAAAGTTAACTGCAATTCTGTGCTGGAGTTCGTCGAAATTTTGTCTTTGGCCGGTGTTTCTTGGCCGATGTGCTATATTTTGGACGTAGAAGTGGGTTTTTATGCTCTTTTCTTTGTGTTTACTGACGTTGGCCTTGCTTTTGGCATTCGAATTCTTCGTAGGTGTCACGAATGTCTTCTCGTTTGGTGCTGAAAAAAAGCAGCATGATGTGTGGTGACGTTTCTGGCATTTACGACTTACGACACAACGACCCGTTGCACTGAATTGAGCTGTGGGATGGAGAGGCGCAAATATGGAATAAAGGTACTGGTATCTTTTTTGAGGTGTTTCGTATTTACAGTAATAGAAAGGCTTATGGTTGCCTCTACAATGCATGCACAAGGACTTTGTTGTCGGCGACTTCCATTGTTTGACTTTATTGTCGAGGCAAACTGTATCTCGAGGAGGTGTTGAGGTGGTCTGGAGACATACCAGTTCCTCGCTAGTCACAACCTCTTCGAAATGTTTTAGAATCTGCTGCATGGTGAAGGGTTCGTCGGGAGAAGTGATCTTTTTGTGAAGAACTTTACGTTGGATCCTGACCGGAAATTTTGAAAGTACCTTTTGATACGTGGACTGATTGTCGACATTTTCACCTTTTTGCACTGATTGGCCTATGATGGCTTTTATGTCTTCCAATTGTCTGCGTTGCTCTTGTATGGACGGTGAGTGAAGGGAGATTTTGTCCATCTTTCTGAAGGTCTGGCGAATAAGTTCTTCAGAGTTTCTCTTGTTAGTAAGAAATTCTATTGCTTTTGCGTAGTTTTGCCTAGTGAGTTGGAACTTCTTCATCGATTGAAGAGGTTCCCCCTTTAAGAAGCTAAGCAGGCAATTGAATTTTTGCAGCTCGAAAAGATTTTGTGAATGTATGTTTAAGCTGAAAAGCTCCCAAAAGTTTTCCCAGTCCCATATGTTGCTATTGAATGTTGGGATTGGAATTGCGGGTAGCTCCAGATTTTTCGCGACCGCAGTAACGGTAGATTTATCTTTGCCACTGTTCGTAGTGGAGGGATTGTGGGATGTGTTAAAAAGTTGAGCGTGAGTCCTGAAGCCATGAACCCAAGCATGCAGGAGTACACCGTATTCGAAAGTAATGCCAATCGCTTTTTCAGCTGTACTCGAGTACTGTTCGAACTCGTTTTCAATATTTGGTAGCTTCGAGTGTGTCTTTTCGAATATGGTAGCGAGTTCATCTAATGCGTGTTGAATCTTTGTGGTCATGTTTTCTAAGGCTGCAACTCCTTATTCTAACTGCTGTAGGCTTGTGTGAATAACGGTGGGCGTTATCTCATCTCGCAGGTTTTAAATACTGATTTCTTTTAACTGCGCGTCTTTGAATAGGGTTAGAGCTTTTGCAGTTGATTAGTATACCGCGCAAGTATCCGTTTGCGACTTGCAAATGATAGCATGGACATAATTCTAGAGTTAACGTACTTGGTTGTGACTTCCTTGACCTGATGGATCCTTTCCAGCGGCCAATGCACCAAAAATTTGTTGAGACGGCTCGTTGATATAGGAATACCAAGTAGTTATGACCATTCGGTCAGAATTAGTTGCCCACTTCTGTGTACGCCACGCGTGACTTTTTGTAAGTAGTAGTCACAATGCCAGACACGTCAAACTTGGGTAATTAAATCGTTTATTGTAATTATACAACAATTATAGAATAATAATACAACTGCACAATTAATGCAACAATGACACAGGTAATGAAAAGGCGCAGCCTGATCATTGGTGTTCAGGTTGCTGATGAGTGAAGTGATTGGCGTATGACGTTTACTACATGAGATCGATATGAGGAAAGGATATGGTGACTTAGGCAGCATTGCCGTGACCTCAACTAGTCAGCCGTGGAGCCGTTTATATACCTTTTCGGCTGGGTGGAGTCAGGCCACACTATGCGGAAAGACGGATGTTGGAAATATTTCTCAAACGTTGCAATCTGATAAGGCGATAGTCAAAGCATAGAACTGTAACTGCAGATATTTTTTATAACGCCAACGAAATGTTAGACATATGGCTATTGGATCGTTATAAGATCACCGGAAACAGCATTCGAAATGCTTAGCACAAAGTTACACATACAGAACATTCCAATGTTCGTGAAGAACGTTCTCTATAGGAAGATCGAGAGGGTCTTCTAAAGAAAATCAGCGAGCTAACAACCCGTCTTCACCACTGGAGCGAGTTCCAGCATAATCATCATTTTTCGGAGATTTTCTGGTAAAGCGATTGCGGAATCCCGAGGACAGCCTGGCCAAAGTTTGCGCCAGGTCGTCACCACGACAGGGAGTCGCAGCCCTTGTGGATCAGAGGAGGAGTTCAATTTCTTCGCCTTCGCACCGTGTGTTCTCCATGAACTGAGCTTTTTTTCCGATTTATGCGTAGGCTTGATCATCGTCTCTGCCTCGCTGGTACTTCTTGAGAAAATGACAATGTTATCGGCGAAACGAAGGTTTGGTAGGCACTTTCTATCAATGCATTTGTTCTTCTTATCCCTATCGAGTGACCTCATTATCCACTGCAGTGCGATACTCAGTGGCTTTGGAGATATTGTGTTTTCCTCTCGAACCTCTTTCAATGGAGGTGTGGTAGGAGGTCTATTGAAAAGGTGTATTTTCATAAGGCACTTCTGGTAACAACTTGACAGATTTTTTTTATAGGACGGATCCACTCCTTGATCGACGAGCTCTTGTAGGATTGCATTCGTTTTGACATAGTCGAACACATTTTCATACGCGATAAAGGTTAAGACAAGGTGCAGGTGGTATTCCCGACAAACCCCAGTGACGCTGGACACAGTTTGTATGTGCACTATGCAGCAAAACCTTTGTCGAAATCCTGCTTACTTCAGTGGTTGAGCCTCAATGAATGTCCTTGATATGCGGAAAAAGATAATCTTCGTGAAGAGCTTGTAAAGTACACTCAACGAGCATATTGCGCGATAATTGCGAGGATTGCTCGACGTCCTCCACTGTTCTGGGATTTTTTTCTTTTGAAGTTCCAGCTGTAAGAAAATCGGCAGTGATATCATCGATAATTGTCGTTCAGATTTTTACCTTTCCGTTTGTGCTGTTGAAGCGTCTGACCTAGCAAATTACGTATCAGTGTTACCTTCCAGGCTCTGAAAAAGGCGATACTGCCGAAGGATCAGCTACCGCTGTGTTGTTTGTTTGTTTTTTTTGTAGGGAAGTAAACGTGTGCTGCATAACAACGTTGGGTTTGCTGAAAAAGAAAATAACACATTTATAATAAAGCGTCGAAGTCAAAAGGAAGTAGATCTTGGGAAAAGGTACTTAGTTTTAAGGCCGTTATCCTCGTAATAAGGAAAATGGCCATCACTGCTGACTTGGAAATCCGCACACGATGTTCCCATTCAGAGATAAACGAGTTCTTTGTGGGAAGAACATGAGATCTCCTCGACATCGGTCTCGTTTCTTATTTTTGCACTCGATCTGCTAATCGTCTTTTCTTGCGAAAATTTGCCCCAGTCTGTAAAAAAGAATGTCGTCATCATGCGCAAAAAAAAATGAAAGGGGCTGTTTACAATTATTCCGCCTTCAGTGATTTTACAACTGATGTGAAAGCGATAGTCCGACAGAGGAGTACGATCTGCTGCTGCTTGGTCGCCATACGTGTGGTGGGGTTTCGAAAAAAAAATACCTGCACCGCAATCGTGCTACTTCACACATTGAACAAGTTGTCATCATCAGAGCCACGTGCAGAAAGACAATAGAGAATGGTCTTAATTGATAGAGATAAAGGAATATTCTAGAGGTATCACAGAGGAGGGAAAGTACATATATAATGTCGTCAAGATTTTCGTGACTACAACATTTCACTTGCTGCTTTTTTAATCGATGAAGAGAGATAAGCTGCAATTACCCATGGTAAGGTGGAAGCGATTGCTGAGAGATTCTGCATAAATCTCCTTCGTTCCACAATGCCTGAGCCAGCTCTACCATTCCCTCTGGAAGAACACGACAACAATGCTTGTCGCAGAGGTTAAATCAGCTTTTAAAAGCATAAGGCCTGGAACAGCTTTTTGGATCACACAAACTCACATTCTACCTGTAAGTGGTTACAAACTATTCGCTCGTACATAATTCACATTCACAAATTCATCACATCACAAGACAGCATCCTATATATGTTTGGATGTTCAATGGATACGAAAAGCTACATGAAAAAGAAAGATGGTAGAAGACAACGAACGGCGTGGGTTGCCACTAAGCCGTTGGAAAAGGTTAATGATCAGGTTCCGTGTTCCCGAACCATGTGCATTCTTATTTAAACCAACATCTCTTCCACCTTTGCGCTGTGAAGCAGAAGTGTAGCCTAACTCTTCAGGGATATCGCTTACAGTATACAGGAAACTCGAGCGAGATATTCCGAAAAATAACTGACACTTAGATCTATCAAGAGATTGGTTAATTCCGAAGGAAAAAAAAACGTCGGAGAAGTTCATGAAGGTAAGCCGAACTATTCGTTAGGATTATCAGCGAGTTATAACCTTAGTTGGTATAAACTTGGCATAAATAATGATAAATGAAGTTAATAGAGATTTGTTTTCGTTTTCGAGCAGTGATATATGAAGTAAGCTCATGAAGATTGAAATTTCTGCAAAAGCATGGGAAGTAGCTTCCTAATGTACTTGATATTACTGTGTGTTCAGAAAATAAAACTACATATATTTCCCGACTTAACGTCATTGCATCAATACAGAAGCTAGAGTCGCCCAAGGACGACCACTGAGCCCTGAAATCCACGTTGAAGAGGATGTGGCATGATATTTATATGGCATGGATCCTAGCAGTGTTCATTTTGCATATTTTTAAATCTAATTTCCTACACTCTACCAAACACGTGAGAGTCAAACGAAGGATCCAAAGTTGCACATATGACTGAGCGTTAGCTGACTTAAACGAAAAGTTTTTAACTTACTATTTACTGCCTAGTCTTTTTAACAACAGGATATATATTGCGAAATATAACTTTATTGTTGCTGAGATATTTCTAAAACTCCGGACTGCAGGTGTATGCGGTGGAGAACGAACGCGCTATTGTCCTTTCTGAGGAGTAGCGCGTTCACCACCACACCACGCGGGTCCTTCGTTTCGCTTGTCTCTCAGCTAGTTCTATCGATCTTTTGCCACCAGCAAACACCCGTCAGCGTGATTGATCTGGGGGCCCAAACCCAAATTAACTGGGTTCGTTGCCGATTTGGGCCCCCATATCAATCCCGCTGACGGGTGATTTCTGATGGCAAAAGACCGATAGTTCTGGTTGAGAGGCAGGNTATATTGCGAAATATAACTTTATTGTTGCTGAGATATTTCTAAAACTCCGGACTGCAGGTGTATGCGGTGGAGAACGAACGCGCTACTCCCCAGAAAGACCAACAGCGCGTTCGTTCTTCACCGCATACACCTGCGGTCCGGAGTTTTGCAAATATCTCAGCATCATTGACCTTATATTTAACAATGTATACCCTGCCGTTAAAAAGAGTAGGCGGTAAATAATAAGTTAAAAGATGCTGAGATATTTGCAGAACTCCGAAACGCAGGTGTATGCGGTGGGGAACGAACGCGCTATTGGTCTTTCTGGGGAGTAGCGCATTCACCACCGCACCATCCGGGTCCTTCGTTTCGCCTGTCTCTCAACCAGATCTATCGGTCTTTTGCCATTAGCAATCACCCGTCAGCGGTATTGATCTTGGAAGCCCAAATCGGCAACGAACCCAGTTAACCTGAGGCTGCAGTTATAATAACAATTTTTAAGTTATTATTTACTGCCGTCTTTTTAACAGTAGGTATACAGCGAGTATATTGCAAAATATAACTTTAATGATGCTACGATATTTGCAAAACTCCGGACCGCAGGTGTCTGCTGATCGGTAGAACTAGCTGATAAACAAGCGAAACGAAGGACCCACATTGTGGTGAACGCGTTACTCCCCATGATAGGGCAATAGTGCGTTCGATCCCCACTTTTTTGTATTCGATAATGGTTAGCTGTAGAGACAGGTGGTATTCCCGACAAACTTCGATGACCCTGGACACGGTTTGGATGTGGTCCATGCAGCAAAGTACTCTTCGAAATCTTGCTTGCTCGACTGGTTGCGCCTCATCCAGTGTCCTCGATATGCGCAATAGGATAATCTTCGTGAAGAGCTTGTAGAGTACACTTAACAAGTATATGGGATAATAGTTACGAGCATC